CTGGTGCAGGTGTGCCGCAGGGTCAGTTGAAGAATCTGTGAATTTCACATTATGTGGTAGCGCACTCGGTGCTTCCTCGGAGGTTAAGGGGTTTTCTTCCCACGCAGTGAACAGCGGACGCTAATGTTTTGTCACTTTTTAAGGAATCAAACTCAAAATGAGGTCAGTACTTCCACGCTTTAAACGCTGCATGCTCATACTCTCTCCCGCACTCAATATATTATCCATTGTTGATCTGCACACAGCTGTTGCCACAAACGTCGCACTTGCTTACGTCATTGTCATGAGACACTCTCGCAAGAAAATCACGGTTTTAGTAACGCAGTAACGCAGAGTGCTTACGGGAAAGTAACAGTAATCTAATTACCGTTTTAGCAATAGTAATCTCTTACTTTACTCGTTACTCGAAAAAAGTAATCGGATTTCAGTAACGCTTTACTGCCCATCTCTGTTCATGGCACAGATTCAACAAGGCGCTGGAAACATTCATTAGAGATTCTGGTCCAATTGACACGATAGCATCACACAGTCGCTTGTCGGTTGCACATCCATGATGCAAATCTCCAGTTTCACCACATCCCAAAGGTGTTCTGTTTGGTTCACAGCTGAATTTGACTTATCAGCAATTAACATTTTGGGAAAACGCACTGATTAGCTTTCCTGTAGAGGTCTGAGTGAGGAGAATTTGCCTATTTGTCTAGATTAAATAATTAGCTAGAGCCATCAACTGCTAAGCTAGCATGGCGAATCCTAGACAAAGCCATTTTTTACACACACACAAACACACAAAGTAGAAAAGTAAATTTGCCAACTTAAGTGACGCAGCTTATATGTGCAGTAGATATATTATTTTTTCTTCTTTAAGACTGTCCTGATTTGTTTAGAGCTCCAGGACACTTCTGGAGCCCTTTTCTGAGTTCTAATATTATCCACATGTTTGTTGCCCTGGAAACCCAGATTGATCCAGGAGGAGAAGGAGAACACAGAGCTGCGTGCCGAGGAGATCGAGAGCCGGGTCAGCGTGGCTTTGGACAGTCCGCCCATCCCTCCCTCTTCCCTGGGGAGAGACAGCACAGGACGGGGCTTCATCCCCACTTCCATCACATCCTCCACCCTGGCCTCCCCCTCTCCCCCCAGCTCCGGGCACTCCACCCCTCGTCTGCCTCACTCCCCTGCCCGTGAGACCGATAGACAGGTACGACTGGAATGTAGAGAAGAACTCCTATTTCAGTTCGTGTTAACCTTTTTACCTCACCTTGGTGTCAGCCTCCCTGTTTATGCAGACAGCTCCTCCAGACAGTGAGTCATTTAAATAAAGCATAAGTAATCACGCAGATGGGGTCAAGAAGTTTAGTTATTCTTCAGCGGCAACAATGTCAGATTGGGAAAGTTTGATTTAAGTGACTCGTGGTGCGGTATGAAGGTTCCAGCAACGGGCAGATAGATTACAAGTAATGGTGCAATAAACAAAAAGCAAGCTGTCAGTGGTGATTTTGAAAATTGATCATGTTTATGTAGGCGTTCAGTGAGAATGGCAAGATTGGTTACAGTTAGGAAGCTGGATGTAAGCCAAGGAAAATAACTCTTTTAAGGCTGTAGCAGGAAACCTAGTCGGCTTCGGCTCCTCTTCACGTCATAAAGGTGAGCTGTGCAACTAAACTTGTAAAATCAAAGAACTCCTCTTGCATTAATCTCAATTTTTAACTATTTGGTAAAAAAAAAACAGGAAAAGGATTACATTTCTAAACAAATAGGATATATTAATATAACAGTTGTTGATTAGTAGATTTTGCTCATGTTTTCCAAAGCAGGGCTTGCTGTTGTCCCCTTTTTCCATTTTTTAGTTGTTTACATGCATCATTGTTGGACAGAGTTGAGAGAATCAGGTCTGGACTGTGTCTGAAGTTGACTTTCTCGAGTATAACACACAGAAAGACACTGACAGCTTCAGACAAGTTGTTAGAAATGGATATATTTTGTGCCGTCACGTCGCAGTCAGAAATCATTCGAAGGCAAAACTTCAAACGTTTTATTCAGTCTAAATCGAGCAATTTGTGGCTAAGATGAATCTTATTGTTGGGACCTACAGTCACGTAAATAACGAGGTTTTCACCGTGCTGCGTGCAGTCCTGTGAAAAAATACATTCCATGATTCAGCAGCTTGTAGAACCACTTCTAGCAGCAATAACCTGAAGTATTCATGAAGTGATCAGTTTCTGTGTGCCTTTATTAGTCTCTCACATTGTTGTGCATTAATGTTGCTTATTCTCAATATTGGTTTGCATTCATTTAAGCACAGCGCTCTTAGGATACCACCACAGCATTTCATTCTGAGCTCCGGCTCGGTCTTTTCTGTTTTGGTGTAGATTCTTTTTGTGGATTTGCTGCTGTGCTTGGCGTCGTTGTTCTGTCGTGTGACTTAATTTGGGCCAAGCTTTAGCTGTCAAACAAATGGAGTCACATTTGACTTTAGAATCCAGCAAAAATGTAAGAAATCTGTTTCGGCCAGTCTCAGTCACAGTTGTGGCTTGGCAATATTAATAATGATGCTACAACAGGTAAAAAACATACTTAGAATATAGTAGCTAATATTTTTTTAATTTACAGACAAAACATTTAAGCAGAGCAGAGCTCACATCATCCATAAAATCATAATTTTTGTGCTTGCATCTACTGCAAATTATACAGTTTACATTTTATATTCCAGAACAGCAAAGATGATGACCGATCCCTCGCTCTTCTTGACTCTACACCTCCTCCCACTCCTCGTGCGCTGCGATTGGACAGGATGGCCCTCACCCATCCGGGAGCGATGCTCGATGACCCCAGAGAGTTTCGCAGGTAAGACGGCTGCGCATTCAAGCGTGATGCTTTCAATGTGTATTTGTTTTTCCAACTTTAGTTACTTTCTTTGTCTCTCCTTCAGTCTCTCGGCAGATGGCAGCAGCACCAACAGCAGCCAAGATTCACTCCACAAGGCCAGCAAGAAGAAAAGCATCAAGTCTTCCATCGGCCGGCTTTTTGGGAAGAAGGAAAAAGGAAGGATGGGCCAACCTGGACGGGATGGATCTGTTTCTCTTGGTAAACTGATAAAAGATAAGGGAGGGACTGACTGAGCATGAGTAATCCATGCTGTCAGCATTTACATCTAAACACTTTATTGGCTCGGTGAATTCGGAGCCAGAAAAGTGTTCTTATCTAGTTCTTGCAATCTTTAATATCACTGTATGTTTCCCAGCATCTACACCCTCTGAAGACCTGGCATCTGGAGACCCAATGGGAATGAATAAGACGGGAACTCTTGGTCCAGCAGATAAAGACCGCCGCAGCAAGAAGAAGTCAGTGAATTATATGCTGTGCGTTTCATATTTTGATCTTTTAATCGGACAGCACCAAATAAGAAATCTCTCTGTTAAATCTCTTATCAGGCATGAGCTGCTGGAAGAAGCATGTCGCCAAGGACTTCCTTTTGCATCTTGGGATGGACCTACTGTTGTGTCGTGGTTAGAGGTAGGTGATCATAGAACTGAGATCTAAATGAAACTTTCATCTTGATTTAATCCACTCCTTGCCTCCTTCTAGCTGTGGGTGGGAATGCCAGCTTGGTACGTCGCCGCATGCCGTGCCAACGTGAAGAGCGGCGCGATCATGGCCAACCTGTCCGACACGGAGATCCAGAGGGAGATCGGCATCAGCAACCCGCTGCACCGCCTCAAACTGCGGCTGGCCATCCAGGAGATGGTGTCCCTCACCAGCCCGTCTGCCCCAGCCAGCACTCGCTCTGTGAGACTCTGAAACTGCACATACATTTAACAAGTCCATAGCCAAGGGGAGCACAAAATTATTAGCTATAAATTATAAAATGCTCTGGTACATAAAAAAATGCATATCTACCTCATGGCATTATATGAAATAGTCACAAAAACCCAAGCCCTTTTTTCCATGCCGTCAGCACAGCTTTGAAACGGACGTATTTCATTTCAAAATATGTTTCATGTCTGCACCACATATGCTTACAGAGTAAGTACATCACCATGGTAACCAAGAAAACAGAGCTTCACGAAGCCGCAACTTTGCGCTTTAACCCAAACGGTGATCAAACATATTCGAGTGATGTTGGTCACCTAAATGTAACCAAACAATGAATGAACGTGTAAATGAAAAGCAAAAGAAATATACAGCAGGAACATGAACGGTAGTGTGAGAGGTGAAATTACTTATGCCTCCTGCTTCCTCCAAGAATTAGACTTTTTCGCCCAGCATGACGGATAAATAGATTGGATTTTGTTCATTTTTGCAGAACTTCCATAAAACTTGGTAATATCTACAGATGGGAGTCGTTTAGGCTGTGGGTTTTCGAATCCAGTTAGGTCCAATGGCTTATGAAACTGCAGATGTATGTGCCTAATATCTAGGATTATGAGTGGGTCATTGGAAAATGTTCGATCTTGTAGGGGGTCCCTGCTCCTAGAGGCTAAAGGGGGGGACCTCCAAAATTATAAGCCCTATTTTAAAACTCTCATTTACCTTAAAGAATGAATATTTTCTCATGATAAAAAGATCCCAGTCTAGACAGCTTCCCCCTAGAATTAAAGGTAAAGAAGCCTTTAATTGGAGCACACTAAGACCTTAAACGCCTTCATATGTCGATTTATGTATTCATTTGGGACGGATATCTATCTTTCTGCTGAGTATAGACTTTTTGCTCAGAGTAGCGCCTTGCTGCATCCATATTTAAAGTCTGAGGTAAATGTTGAGCCAGATGTTTGTTGTTTAGAGACTGGCACAAATTATCAGATTATAGTCTCTGTGAAGGCCACATAATTAGCGCCAAATGTCACAGTCGCTAGTCATAAAATTAAAATGTGACCTGGAATATATGATATTAATAAGGAATGATGTAATAGAAATAGCCTGTTGGGGCACATGACATGTAGGATGTAGGATTAGAAAGAGAAAGAAAGAAAACAGATGCAGATAAAAATGAATGCTAACAAACATGAAGCCTATTCTACACGTGATAAATGTCCAAAATGATAAAGATATGAATGGAAATAGGCTCTGCTGGGAGTGACGGGGTTCACCTTTGTCATCTGGAAAACATTGGCAACAAAAACTTTGCCCTCTCCCTCGGCAACAAAGACAAACCAGATGTTGAAAAATGTAGTAAAAGTGCTGCACGCACATGCATTTGTGGCACTGTTTTTTCCTCCGCTTCCTCAAGGAAGATAGAGTGAAAAATAGCTGAAAGCCATCTTCTTTAAGGCGTCTGCTTTGGAGCTTTTAACAAATGGCAGATTTTGGTTTTTCTTGGCTTTCCCTTTTCAGCATTTGGCTTCCTCTCTATTTACAGTAGAAATCATATTAATGATACGGTGAAATGCGGAAGATGATCAATCGTGCAATTTTGCCCAACAGGCTGAGCAGATTCATTAGTTATCGGTTCACATAAGCCCATCGAACCTCTTGTTCGTGGAAATCACCATGGCAATGAGTCTTCTGTTGTGGTTGGCTGACATCTTTTGATGTGGCTGTTTTGGCATCGCGAAAATGTTCGAGTGTTGACTCATTGCTGTAGACAGGCAGTGAAGTGTGGTGTGTGTGTGCATTTTTTGTAATCTTTTATCTCACTGCTTCGCTTCTTTTGTTCACATAACTGCAGTCTACCAGTAACGTGTGGATGACCCACGCAGAGATGGAGTCTCTGAACGCCGCCACCAAGCCCCCGGTTAGTGCCCCAGCCGTCCTGTCTCTGTCTGACAAACTGCCCTTTTATGGTCATGGTTATTTTATTTTATTTATTTTGAATAATGTTGAGCGTCTCGTCCGGTCTGAATCACGTTGATGAGTCTCTCCCCTCGCTTCTCCTCTCTCTCCTTGTACTTCTTTTTTGTACTTCTGTCTCTCTGTGGGCCCAGGCCATAGTGTTGAGCATCTTCTTCTCTCCCTGTTGTTGCCGTTTCAGTGTGAACTGCTTCCAACTAATTACCCGTTCACTAACACACTGTTCCTCCCTTTTGTCCTCTTTTCCCGCTGCTGCTGTTGCTGCTTCCTCCTCTGCTGCTCCTTCACTATCTATCCATTCGTCCACCTTGCTCTTCACCTCCGCACCCCTCTCCCTCACCACCTCCACATCACTCTCTCTGGCTCTGTCTCTCTTCGTCTTCCTCTTCTCTTCTCTCTGCAGGAGCTGAAAGAGTTCAGCTGGGATCAGGTAAGGGATCAGCTGCGCCTTTTTGAAAAAAAGTTCGCACAACATGCTGCGTATTTGTCACTCATTTCATCTCTAACAGCAGTGAGTCATTTGCAGCGCCATCAGATACGAGGCCGAGCGTGAATCAGTGTTGCTCATCTGTGGTTGTCCCCTCCAGATACTGGCCTATGGCGATATGAATCATGAGTGGGTGGGCAACGAGTGGCTGCCCAGCCTGGGCTTGCCGCAGTATCGGAGCTATTTCATGGAGTCCCTGGTGGATGCTCGCATGCTGGACCACCTGACCAAGAAAGAGCTGCGAGGACAGCTCAAGATGGTGGACAGCTTCCACAGGTAGAGCTCGGCTTCATAACTCATGCTCTTTTGTCACGTCTCGTGTTTACAAAACTCTTACTCTCCTACCTTTGTGTGCATGTGACAAGGGAATTTTGAAGGTGTTAAAAGACAATGGTTATGGCACTCTGACAGCTCAGTTGTGTGTCTCCAGGCCTTCTCTGAGTTCTCTTTTGAAGGAGTGAAAGGGTCAGAGGTGCTGGGTTGTTAATGCTTTCTGAGCACATGTGAGAGTGGAAACACGCCCTCCTCGGTTAACCTGCTTGAACCCCTGACCCTCTGGCTCTTTGCCCTCTCCCAGGGTCAGCTTGCATTACGGCATCATGTGCCTGAAGCGTCTAAATTACGATCGCAAGGAGCTGGAGAGGAGGAGAGAGGAGAGCGCCCACCATAACAAAGGTGACCCCTTGTTTCTCTGCCATTATCTCACCTTTCACGCCCCAGTGGAGGGATGGTATTGTACAGTTCTCCGAGCCAGTAGAAGCAGCTAATTCGTTTATTCATGTGGTGCTTTGTGCTGTGTAAAGCATACCTTAGTGACTACTAACAGCAGGTTATTTGTTTTATTTGACTATTCATTTTATTGCATTTTTACCATCACCTTGTTGATCTGTTAGACCGCCGTTTTTATTGCCTGTGCTATTTCATGTGCCGTGCACAGCTCAAGTTTAAGAAGCAAAGCATTTTTTCTTGTGGAAAGGCAGAAATCCTGTGTGTTTCTGGAGCTCATCGGAACCAAACTGGACCAAGCACAAACTAATAACTAGCAGTCTTGGTTAAATACAGCTTCGAATAGAAACCCGCACTAATCTGGTGGTATCGTAAACATTTAAACTTCTACCAAACATCAATAGAACATCAATCTTATCACAGCAGTAACAAGCTGATGTGAATACCATGAATACATCTTTTCACAGCCTCCTACATGCTGTCCCTGAGCAGAGAACAAGTCTGACTGGTACCATCTCCTGTTTGGCTTACGTGTCAGAAAAGGCCGCTTCCCACCTGCATTATCAAAGTGTAATTCGGAGTTTATGTGTGAACTTGAATCTTAGCTCCTTATACAGTTTTAAATAAACACGAGCCGCATGGCTCTACAAAGGCTGAAAATCACCTGCATCCGCTAATCGAATCTCTGGATTCAGATAAGTTTGTGATATTTTATTGAGACTAACGAGACCATACATGAAGCTCAATTTGATGTATTTGTAAAGTTATGATGCAAAATGCAATTGTGCCATGTCTTGCATGGGTAAAGAAGCTTTTCAAGCATTCTTTGGTTCCCATCTTGATAACTTCGAAGCAGGGTCAAACCACACCTCTGTTAAAAACTGTTATGCATGTCTGTGCAAAATCTTTTGAGTTGTTCTGATAAAGAACAAACCAACAACATAAAATGCAGTGGCAGAGGTAAAGATTCATACCTTATATTTATATTGATACTGATCAGTATATGTTTTTAATTGTTGTTGTTTTTTAAATTCTAGTATTTGTTAACCCAGCAAAGAGCAAAACCCCACACAATTTACTGTCTAAAACAGAGAAATAGCAACAAGCACTGGTACCCTGGATATTTTCTGTTATTTTATCTATTTTATCTGTTTTAAATGTCATATCACCATGTTGTATAGGTGGCTGATCAGTTCAAGTTATAGCTTTCTTCTGTCTGAATTATTTTCTCAGATTTGGCTGCTTCACCCTGTTTCAGTGTGACATTATGTTTGTTTCTGACCTGCCATCAGTCTACACTGCCAGCACCCTTTTACCAAACTGCCTAACATCTCTGCGGACGGTTTCCAGACTAATAAGAATTTATCATCTGCATAAAGGAGTAATAAGATTATGTAATCTCCGTAAAATGATGCACTATTTGAGAAGCTAAAACATTTAGAAAACAGTTTTTAATGACTAAACCTTTCCATTCTTCACAAGTTTGGGGGTTTTAGAATTTTAGCAGGGAAAGCTGCTGTACTGCTTTTAACTTTTGTCAAATCTCTTTAAAGTAAGCAGATGTAAAAAAGGAAAGTCTTTACAAGTAAACTATAAAAATACTTTCTTGCATCAGCGCTGGCATGTAAAAAAAAAAGTGAAACAAAAAAACCCCTTAATAATGGTTATTTTCTTTGATTTCTCACGTTCCTGGGAATTCCTGTGTTTAGACCACCCATTGTTTTTCCCCCCTCCTCGTTATACCTAGAAGAGATTATAAGCCACAACCTTCTAGCTTGGCTGGATAATGATTACATAAATGTCAACACGTTCGGTCATTAAACAAACCCAAATCTCTCGCACTCCCACTGCTGCGCCTTGAAAAACACATGTTGTGCATTTACAGTCAGTTCATCTTGGCTTCTCCCCAGAGGAATCATGCAGATGAGGAAATTAGCGAATCTGGGTTTGTCTGATGATAGGCCTGACCTGTGTTGTCCATGTGCAGAAAATAAATCAGTTAGTCAAATGTTTCATTATTTCCTCTGATCGCTGACCCTTACAGAAGACGGTTAATAAATCTGAGCAGCCCTGCATGTGTTTATGTATCCAAATTAAACTAAAGGAGGTGGCTTCAGTTTTAATAAAGATTTAAAAATAGTGTGCAGACAGCTTTCTGTTTGCAGATGAATGCCTCTCCTCCCTTCCTTTCACCTCCTCCCTTTCTCTTCCTAGATGTGATGGTATGGTCCAATGAGCGTGTGATGTGCTGGGTGCAGAGCATCGGTCTGAAGGAGTACGCCGACAACCTCCGGGAGAGCGGCGTCCACGGGGCTCTGCTGGCTTTAGACGACACATTTGACTACACTGACCTGGCCCTGCTGCTGCAGATCCCCAATCAGAACACACAGGTAGTGAATTCATTGTCGATGCACATCAAGAGAAATGTCTTTGCATCAAAGTCTGTTCCTACGTCCAAGACAATTTATCAGATATTTTGCACTTTAAGATCCCTATAAACTTTTTTAGATTTTGATAATTTGCCATTTTTAGACAGAACAAGTTTAGCCAGTTCTGTGGTATTTACCCTAACCCTAATCTGAGTTATACAACAGGCAGCACAGTGGCAGAATTGTTAACACTGTTGCATCACAGAAGGAAGATTCTGGGTCCAGCTGGGACTGTGTGGAATTTGTATATTCGCTCTGTGCCTGTGTGCTTTCCTTTCGGGTGTTTCAGGCTCTTCCTCCAGTCTAAAGGCATGTAATTTAGGCTAATTAGCCAAAAAGTTGGCCACTGTTAGAAATGGTTCACCGTATCTCTATGATGGGCAGGCGACCTGTCCAGTGCATACCCCACCTCTCACCCTATGACACCCAGTGTAGGCTCCAGGCCTGCTGTGACCCTGAAGTGTTTGTGATAATGGATGAATTTCTATTTATATGGCAACAAATTCCTAAAAACCAAGCAAAAATGCCTTTCCCCAGCTGTAATAGTGGGAACTACTGCAAAGGCAGTTTTGAGTACTTTGACTGGTGTTTATCTTTCTATCTGGAAGTCAGTGGACAGACGTAGTCAACACAATGATGTCACACATCTCCAAGATACAGTCCCAAAACATTTACAAGTTTGGAGTTGAGATCAAAATGGAAAAAAAAAAGCTCAAGGTTGGGTGTGGTACGACCCATGTGGACCGAGTGTTCATTGAAAAAGTAGTGTTGACTGCTGAAGATGAGCCTGAATGCCAGCATGTTTATATATGTGTGTGAGTTGTGTCATCGCAAAACACAAGCCAAAGTACTCTAAACTGCGATTGTACGAGTCTGTAGGGCCACATTTTGCCATGATGACACACATTCAAAGCAATCCCAGTTATGCTGTCGTACCTGTAGCAAAGGTTTTGGGTGTAGCTGTATCCAAAATTCCTCTTGCTATTGCAGAAATGTATGCAAAAAGGGCGTATGTAATTAGGTGCACCATTGCACACTTAGTTAAACATATATAAGAAAATTAGTAATATAATAACTGTCTTTAAAAAGATCTTCTCAGCCTCTCCGTCTCAAATAGAATTACGTCTGTTATGTCTAAAAATGTCTAAAATGACACGTCAGGAGTTAAGTGCAGAGGTTGTTCCTGTTACACTGAAAATCGAATGAGAATCCACAGTATTGTTATAAAACAGGTATCATGTTCAAAGAATTAATGTATGCCAGCATAGCAGAGCAGCCCTGATCTGAAAATGCATCATCTGCAGAGTCCAAGCTAATCTCCGAACTCTCCATCACCTCTATCCTGCAGGCCAGACAGCTCCTGGAGCAAGAGTACAACTCCCTCATCTCCATGGGAACTGAGAGACGGCCCGATGAGGTGAGCATGCTAATATGTCTTTAAAAAAAGAAAACAAAATACCCATGAAGAATGCAAAGGTTGTTTGCATGAGGATCCATCTTAAGGCTCACGACATGTGTCTCGCTGACAGGATGGGACTAAGACATTCACCCGCTCTCCCTCCTGGAGGAAGATGTTTAGGGAGAAAGACCTGCGGGGCGTGACCTCTGACTCTGCCGAGACCCTGCCTGCTAACTTCCGTGCCTCAGCCATCTCTACACCCTCCGTTACCCTGAGGAAGGTTCAGAGTGAAGGTGAGTATGACCCCGTGACCTCTGAAGCATTTGGTCTCACCTCCGGATTCGTTCAGCTCGTTTCAGCCCTCGAGTCGCGTCACCATTTAGAGGACGAAACACTTAATGTTCTCATTTCCTGGCAGCCAATTACTGCAGTTTAGTCAAAGCTCCTGGAATCTCAGCGATTCACACAAGGTGATTTCTATTTGGAGGTTTACAGGAAGACGACAGGGAGACCAATCTCACTCCAGACTCAAATGTTTTACTCAAAATGCAATTTTCTTTTCAAAAACCTCACCAAACAGCTGGTAAATATGAAGATAAAAGTCAAAACAAAGCAGTGAGTGAAACAAACCACAGTTTAAAATAAGTATTATAAACATCAGTTAAAGGTTTACCGTAACCACTTCCAGGCAGTTGTTTACAAACCCAATTAGTAAGCATTATTAATTATCCATCATTGTTAACGATGTTAAACCAAAGCTCAATTTACTTTTATTAATGATGGTTATTATAAAGCACCAGATTGATTCTTGCATTTGTAATCTCAGGGAACCACACATAGCAAGGTCATATCTTTACATTTAAACCTAATAAGTCCTCCTTGAGGTCTGGAGACCCTCCTTAAAACTTCCTTTTAACAGGAAGAAACATGAAGGGAGGGTGTCTGCCTTAAAAGGTCAGTGTGAGGGAAGAGCAGAGTGAGGACCTTAGGAAGAGCATTTGAAAAACTGGGGCAAAACTTTGGTTGTAGTGGGGTAACAGTGCAAGGTCGGCCCAGGTGAAACGGTACCGTGGACCTCTTAATAAATGAGCCGTGTGTTTACATTTGTAATTCTTGGAAATGAGCCTTGAGCTGAAAGATTTTTCTGCAGCCAGAATACACCGGATGTTATATAAGATGCTGCTAATGCACAGGCGGCAGTTGGTTGTTTTCATGCTACTCTGCTATTAATTTGCCAGTGGAATTTTGTGTTGCCTTCAGTGGAGGAACTGGCAATAACAAGGAGCAGACGCTTCAAAGTACAGAGGAAGACTATTTTCCCTCATTCCTCCTCTTAATAGGAATGCCTCTGGAAGGTCAGTGCTGTTTAAAAGACTTTGCAGTTATAATAATAACCCCCCTCTGTGTCTCGGTTTCCAACACAGCCAGCTCTGGTGCCCGGGGTGAATCAGCCTCAGTGAGGACGTACTCCTGTTGAGTGGCTGAGGTGAGAACCCTCCGACTTATTAATTAAACAGTCTGGTTTCATTCGTTTCATGACACAAACATTTCCTCTAAGCTTCAGAGATAGCTTGCACATGTGTCCAAAGTCTTTGTTTTATGTATTTGTTTGTTGCAGTTTGGGAATTTTAAAGTGCTTGGTTTGGTTGGTTGGTGGGGCTTTGAGCTGAGTTGAATTGAGGCCACAGAAGCAGTGACGTGGCAGTAATGTTGTTTCTCTCCCCCCAGGGCGCTGACAGGATTGTGACTAGAGGACCCTCTCGCTCATCCACGGAGAAAGAAGCAATGAATATAACCATTTAACTTTAAATAAATCTTTCAGTCTGACCATTCTGCAATAACAGAAGAAAAGAAATAAGGGGGAAATCAAGAATGTATGAATGTATTTGCGAAGACTGCGAAGGTTGAAACGGATACGCTGTTTTCTCCCTCTGTCTCTCACTACCTTCTCAACTCTTCCTCTCTCAGTGCGAAGGGTGCGAAAAGGACAACACCGGTGTCGGTTAGAGTCGGTGCCGTTGCGCTGCGTAGGTCTCTCCTTTCTTCATTCCTGTCCACGTAAAGTTAGCAGAGTTGGCAATATCAGGGCTCATTTTCCTACCTACAGAAAAAAATAACACTTGCTGCCATTTATTGTCTTACAGTTTGAAAACAAGTAAATGTGTCGCCTTACAACTTCTGCTCAACAACAGGTGTTTTATAACGAGGGCCGGGACAGAAAGTAACCTCACCGTAAAGTCTGGAGAGGACTGAGAGGGTGTTAAAACTGAGTGACGACTTGGAGGGGAAATGGCTAGGTGGATATAAACGTGTCATAAACTACACCGGTGTTCTCCTTTGTACTAAAGGGCTGGCTGGTGTCTAGTGTCAGCCATTGTGGCTCTTTGTTGGCTTCTATGGTCCTGTCAGGGGTTGGTTGCAGTGGTGTAGTAAAATCCGTCTGAATTCAGACCACCATTTAGCTCCGACCACATCAGAGGGACCCTCCTCATGGCTTGTCCATTGGGGCCTTGAAAGCCGATAAGATGAGTAATCTCTTTTGAAGGGAGTCCATTATAGAGATCAAAGGCACAGAGTTGCATGGGACAGTGTGTAGCAAGGCCATAGAAGCATTGTGTTCATGATCTCATGATGTCAATGGCAGGAAGTCAATTAAGTTACCGCTGGTACCACTTTCTAAAAAAGATGTTAATAGGTTTTTATAAGTTTTGGCTTTATTGATGTTAAAAGGACACTCCAGTGATATTTGTTTTTTACTTTCAGTGGGGTTCCACTCAGACTGTGGAAACAGTTCCGCAACAGCATTGTGGTTTTGGTAGGAACCTTTTTAAAGTTTGGAAAAGAAGTGATACAATCTCTGCTTCAGTATGAGATTTACTTATTTTTAATATAATCTATAAGTGTGGAACAAACGAAAGGAGCAAATGCAATCTGGGCACTTATCGGTCGGTCTGCTAATTTAGCATTTTGGGGCAACAGCAAGTTTTTATGTAGCCTACAGATATCTGGGCCAAGACTGTTTATCTGCATGCAGGCAAACCTGCTCAAATGTGATTAACAATGTAACTCTGAATGCAAATGGAACCAGAAAGCTTCTTGTAGCAAAAATCTGGTCTCTACTTACTTACATACAGAGACATCCACTTATAGAGACTGGTGTAGAATCATTTTATACCTCGACCTACAGTAGAGCCTCTGCTAGTGACAGCGTGTCAGAATATATAACAAACATTAGGGCCTCGTCTCAACAGAGCTGTAATGTTCGATAGCTACACGTACCTCTGATTGGTGGATGTAGACTGGGCAAATAAAATAGTTTCTACGTAGCACTCGATCTTTGTTGAGTTTTATCAATTTCAGCTATATTCAAGAGAAGCCACACATATCGACAGGCAATATCTCCAAAACTGAGCAACTCACACCCAAACATTCTGGACGGTGGAAAGCTTGATTTTTAGGTGAACGGTTCCTCTAACCAAATATAATCTTTCTAGTGACTGTAAGACTGAATTAAAAAGGAAAGGAGGGTTATTCTAGAGGTGAATATGCACCGGAAAAATGTATTTTTCAGGAACTTGCACCAAAAAGTTCACCTTTCACTTAATAATTCAGTATCTCATTAGTGTCATTGTTATAAATATTAATGTTTTACATGGAAATAATGCCATTTATTAAAACCTCTAAGCCATTTCGAAACTATGTCTATCTAGAAAGTGGTACCTAAGTTTAGAATATAAAGCCAGACTCCAACGCGAAATCCTCAGTCAGCGTCCACGGTGTCTTTACGAGGTTTGTGACTTGTAATCATCAGCTCAGGGTCTTGGGTAATCCTGATGATGGCAGAGGCAACAGAGAGACAAAACAGCAACTCAAAGGGAGAAAAGAAGAAGAAGAAAAAGAAGGATGGACAGAAGCCGGTCATTTTATTGCACACAGAAGCCATAACCGAAATTTAGAGCGCTTTCTGGGGGCGTGGGGGTGAGATCAGAGAGAGGCCGGATGAGGTCGAGCCCGAGGAAGCCCAGGAAACAAAACCTTTAGCCTCTGTGTTTACGATGCATGTCAAACAAATGACAATGACCTAAAAACATTTTTTTGGTAGTGAAGATGATATGAGGTGTCGTTAAAAAATATATATCTGTATGATAAACCTACAGGGGGTGGGAGCCTGGGGATCAATTTGTAAAATGTGTGTATTTTTTTCAGTTGTATTTTTTATTTTTTACAATAACTTTATTTTCTTTAGGTATGTATTGGATAAATGTATGTACATGTTCTGTTCCTTCTTGACTTCATTTGAACTAGTTTTAAAAGTAAATATGAAACATTGAAAATGGTCATTCAAATACGCTACTGTATGTGTACATTTTGAGAACAAATTGTGCAATGATTTAACAGATTTCCATGATTAAAGTGATAGTAATACAAATTGAAAAAAAAATCATCTGGAAAATAAAGAAAAATAATGATGATGATGATGAAAATGGTGATGTAAAAGAAAAAAATAAATAAAGCGATCCAGGTGGATCTGCTGATCATCGCAAAGTTTTCCTGATTTTCTTTTATTCAGTGACTTCTATAGATAAAAATTTAAGATTTAAGAAGTTGTTTTGCTTCTTCTTTCAGAGTACAAGGAAAAGACATATTTAGTTTGTTTCACTTCACTTTGTAAATATCTTTTGCATACTTTGCAAACACCCAAGTACTAATAAGTAGTAGTAGTAGAAAATTTGCCAAACAAACTAGCAAAATAATTTAAACTAGCTGGACTTAACTGGGAGGTTTCAAAATGATTTTTTTTTTTAACCAACAAATGCAGTAAAACCTGAAGAATTTAAAGCTGGGCTACATTTAAAGTACGTTCTCTCAGTTTTTTGCTTGTACTCTCCACTTTAATTGCACGTACATCCACCAAACTTTTCACCGGTTTGCTGGTCTTTTTTTTTTTTTTTTCAAATATTCTTCAAAGTCTGATTGAAAACTTTTAGTCCTTAAAATGTGATCAAATGAACTTTTTCTGACTGTCAACAGCATTTTCTGGTGTACACCCAGTGGATACTTTGTTAGGTATACTGCTCAATAACACATATATCTGCTAGCAACTCCATGCATTCAGTTATGTGGACATGGTCAAGACAACTAGCTGAATTAAAAGTGTTCTCTCACCCCTATTCACTCAATATATATTCATACACCATGCATTCAATTATGGGTTATTATTCATCTGTGGTTTTCTTCCACAGCATGTCTTTTGTCTCCCTCCCCTCCCTGAGCTTGGTTCTCCTGGAGGATTTTTCCTGTTAAATGGGGGTTTTTCCTTCCCATTGTCGCCAAAGTACTTCCTCTTAGGTGTCGTCTGATTGTTGAGGTTTTTCTGTCACATTGCAGGGTCTTTATCTTACAGCTTTTAGGCAACTGTTGTTGTGGTTTGGTGCTATATGAATAAAAGTGAATGGAATTGAAATGGGGAGTATCAGAATGGGGAAGAAGGGTGACTCTACTAGTTTGAGTATTTCAGAAACTGCTGATCTACTTGGATTTTCCCAGAGAGAAGATTTTTAAGGGAGTGGGAGTTCTCTGTGTGAAAACACCTTGTTGGGGTCAGAGGTCAGAGAACAATTGCAAGACTGCTTTGAGCTGATAGGAAGACAACAGTAAATCAAATAACCACTCATTACAATGAAGGTATGCAGAGAGGCATTTCTGAACGCCCAACACGTCAAACAGATGACCTACAGCAGCAGAAGACCACACAGGGTGCCACTCTGTCAGCGCAGAATAGTAAACAGGCTCACCAAAACTGGATATCAGAGGACCAGAAAAACATTTGCAGGATCCGAATTTGGAGGCAACACTGTGAAAGAATGGATATATCCTACCTTGCATCACTGGTTCAGGCTGGAGGTTGGGCTCTAATGTTATGGGGGATATTTTCTTGGCAAGCTTTAGTCCACTAAGTACCAACTGAAAGCCATTTAAACAGCACAGTCTGAGTATTATTACTGACCATGTCCATCCCTTTTGACCACAGCGTGCTCATGTTCTGATGGCTGTTTCCAGCAGGAAAAAGCACCACGTCACGTCAGATGGCCTCCACATCTCTTCCAATAGAGCCCATTTGACATGTGATAGAAGAAGAGTTTTGCATCATGGATGTGCAGCTAACAAATATACAGCAAGTGTGTGAGGCAATCAACACAGACCGAAATCTTTGATGAATGTTTCCAGCATCTTGTTGAATCTATGCCACATGGAGTTCAGGTAATCCTGAAGTCAAGCCGGGATCCAACCCAGTACTACCTAATAAAGTGAGTGATGAGTGTACAACTGGCGTTATCTGATGTTCAAATTTATTCTAAAAAAAAATGCAAATTCAGGCATATTTCTATAGAAAATACCTCACCTGCATTATAACCATAAAATAGCAACAAAAAAAGGCTCCACCTCAATGTACGTAACTTTTTGGTGATATCACTTTCTTTCAATTTTAACAATCGCTGCTGTTTCCAAAAGAAACATTTTACAACACATATCTCTAAAGGGCGTGCTCTCACTCTGAGCCAGGAATCTACGTGAGTAGCACTTACATCCACCCAACATCACAGCTTTATATCTGTTTATATCTTAAAGGGCTTTTTAATAGAGCAGTTCATTAATGTGTCACTGCGAGCTTGATTTATAGAACGTCATTTGTTATAAAACAAAAACAAAAACGTGGTGAGGCTGACATTTTCCTGGCTGTTTACTGCATTATCTGAATGATGTAGTGATAAATAGATTTTTTTTAAACCCTCTCTAAAGACCTTTAACTGCAATGTGACAAGAAAATTAAACTTTATCCAGTATTTGGACTTCCATGAAAGCATGGATTATACAATTTGTGGATAGAAAATACATGTTTATTGTCTTTAAATAGTGCCAGTAAGTTTATTTGATTGGTTTGTGTTTTGTTGTTAGTGCCGACCCAAAAAGTAAATCCACTAATGCTTTTCGACACATTCGTCACCTTCATGGGGCATAAAAATGGACATTTTCTTGTCATATCTTCACAAATACATATGCAAATAAAATCAGAAAAAATGGGAGACACAGTTTAGATGTTCTCAAGAAACATAAACGTTATCCAGGTGTAGATATCCTAGTGTGTGTAGGGATTTGTGCATGTTGTGCACCTCAGCCTTGGAGGTATGTAGTCTTGGCTTGCTCTTTTTCCTGAAGCAATTATTTTTAATCAACTACATGTATCTGGATTTATAGACAACTGAACACAGAATAGCCACAATTTTTGCTTGTAATGGATGATTTTTAAAATTAGGACTTTACAACTTTTAAGCATGTTTGGCACGTTTCCTCTTACCAGCAGATTTCAGCAGCCAAAAATACAATAAAAATGAAAGTAATAGTAATGAAAGCTGTACTTTGTATGTACATTAGTTAAGTTCAGAGCATACTGAGTACAAAGTTCCTTTATTACCATGTTTGGCAGGACAACTGAACAAACGCAAAGATGGTAAATCAGCTTGTTTAAGTGTCACATAATTTACAAACCACATGCTTTTACAATCATGAGCCACATGTGAGGCCCACATGCACAGATACATCCTGCCACAAAAAAAATCCTCTGCCTGGCTGAAATCACGCTAGCATGTGCCCGCGCTGCAGTCTTAGTTAAACCATAACTGTAACGTTTCATGGTAAAATATACGGTGAGAGTTTGGAGCAGTAAAATGGAACCTCAGTAGGGGGCGCTCCTTCCTCTTACAACACGAGCGGACCAGAGGCTGGAATTATCATCAGACACTGGAGAGACCTACAAGCCCGTGAAGGCTTCTTCTATAAATACACACAAATATACATAGCTTCATACATAAAGGTATACTGGTGTCATATTGTACACTTATATATATATATATAGGAATATATTAATATCAAAGACATACACATGCTTACATACTAATCAAAAATAACTTAGATTATGAAAGATAAATCATACAAAAACAGTACTTCTTAAAGTAAAATTTCTATAGGACAATTTTCCCTAAGATCTAGTGTTGAGGTCTTCTTGTTTTTTTAAATGCAAAAGTCACATAAAGTTGTAGTGGAAGGAAAAGAGATATCTGAAAAGGTCTGGATTTAAGAAGAGATAGCTTCCCTCATGTTCTAGGAAAGACCACGAGGAAGAGAAAGTGCACACAGAAGGATGTCAGAGCTGCTCTGCTCTGTGTCACTTCACTTTGTGCTGTCTCTTAAGCCCTCCCCCTTCTTGTCAAAACCTCCCTCCCCGTTGCCGGATTTGCTCTGGACAGCAGCACACAGACGCAGGACGAGTTGATTCGAATCCACCTCCATGCGATTCTGTTTCGATTATCTTTGGTGAGTGCTCGCACGTACGACTGCTTGACTCTACACTCACTGTTCCACTGTTTTTTATCCACTCCCAAGCAGCTGCCCCCAGCCACACCTATCCCTCGAGGTTTGAGAGATTTCGCTGATGCAACAGCACCCTTTGACTGGATCCGGTTGTTGGGATGGTGGCAGTTAGTTTCATAGAAGTACTGTTGTAGAGGTCCTCTCTGAGTCTGGATTTCCTGTAAGACACTGACATTCTCTCCTTTGAAGTCAGTGGCTTCTGTCTTGTTAACCCACACACTTATTGCCTCGCACACCGACTGTTCCCTTGACCTAATACCCTCCTTTGATCTGTCAGTCAAATGTGAGCGTTTATCCCTTTTAACAGGATGGACACCCTCGCGGGTAAATCTAGCAGAGTCTGCCCAAGACAAAGTCGTACTCCTGTCGAGTGCGCGGTCGCCGTGACCCTCGATGGCCTCCTGCTCCTCCCAATCCCTGTCCTCCTCCAGCATGCCAGTCTCTAACATGAGCAAAAGAGGTGGGTCCTCCGGAGGTGATGGAGAGGATGAGAACAGGACCCGAGGATGAGCATCGAGAAACAACTCGTCTCCCTTTAAGATGTTATCCAGCCCTCCCAGACCCAGACCATCCTCCATTGTCAGACTTTCTTTAGGAAAACCTCTTCCAGTTCCCACGGTCCTCTGGCTCGCTGTCCCGATTTTTTGTGTATCTCTGAACTGATCTGAAGTTGTAGTCAGTTTTGGTCCTGTTTGACCCTTATGTGTTGTAGCAGGACTCACATGGTTTTCCAATGCAGAAACCTGCAATGGCCTATCAGTAGCGTCCTGAAGATTGTCTTTCTTGGAAAAGTCCACAAAGCCTGCGTATTCATACCTGCTGGTGCTGCCAGGTTTGTAATCCTTGGGAACAGAACTATCCTGGGAAACATCCTCGGCCCTGAGTGTAGCTCGTTCTGTGGGAACATCTAAGCTGCTTCTGTCATTGCTGCCTGAGTTGCTGTTTGATTGGTGGGTTCCTCGACTCTCCACCTTGAATGTCTCTTCGCGTATAGGTTTTACATAATCCTTACGGCTCTGGAGGTTTTGTCTGTTGCTGTGTTGACTGAGCGCAGCAGTCATGTTGTAGTCCGTCTGCGAGGCACTTCCATTGAAGCTGTAGTCCGCGGGGGCAGCTGCGAGGCGAGCGGCTGGGTCATGCCGGTGCTCTCTGCGTTTGTCGAAGCCAGGCTCGGCGGTCGCAGTAGCAATCTTGGACACGGGGTTGTGAGGGAAGGGCAGGGCCGAGGCAATCACCATGGCAACCAGGGGAAGCCAGTGCATCACTCCCAAGACGTATCAGCTGGTGGTTAAAATAGAGCAGACACAAGAGGAGAGAGAGCCAACGTTACTTTATACAATGCAAATTGTGGCTTATACAGTTAAACCAAGCACCACAATTAAAGTGTAAATTGAGAGGTTTTACTGGTGGCCTACAGCTTTATGAGACTGGTGCTTTAACTGCTGAGGTATGGCTCTAAAATCTTGGCAGAACTCGTGGAAAAATAGGTACAGCGAGGTCGATCTTTGTTTCTGCAAGAGGAGTTCAGCTATGAATGGTGCACACTTTGAAGAGCTCACCTCCGACAGACTGGCACGTATGTGTGTCAGAAACTTTACAGCCAACGCTTTTAAAGGCATGATTTGTTTCTCTTCTGCTGTTGCTACTTTTCTTCAGAATTCAAGAATCTGGGACTTTCTTCTACATGTTGTAACTTACAATATACCTTCTTGTCAAAACACACACACATAATACGAAAGCATACCAATACAGCTGAGATAAACCGCAAGTATTCTACCTGTTTACACCTGGGCTGTGAGTGAACTGGTGATGGAAATTTAATGACGGATACAGTACTGCATTCAGCTGCACTAGCCTGGAAGAGTTTCAATTATAGAGTGATCGCTATTGTAAACGTCCTGCCTGCCATAACCTGTATTATCTAAACTTTGTGCAGCTTGTAGTTACAAAAGGCTTTAGTGCTGCTTTTTGTGTGGCAAAAATAAGAGGCTGAAATTCTTCTGTATAACTCCTTTAGGTCATATACACAATATTATGTTATAAAAAGTACATACTAAGCATTTCATAAAACGCATAGTTAACTGTTGACTAGTTAGTTCACTATTATTGTTTTTGCCCATTTTACCTGGTCACAGAATCTTAGAAGAGCTCAATATTATTACAATATGACACCCACAATAACAATTCAGGGATTTCTATGCACAGAGAGATTTTTGGAGAATAAGTGGCACTTATAAGGTTAATAGGTTTGATATATGTAGACCAATAAAACGAATCATAATACAATACTTGCTGCATTACATGACTATTATTTAGGCTAGGGTACCATGTTGGTGTAACTGAACTGTGGTGTCATTGTATCAACACTATCCAATTTGTTAGCTCTGTCATTTCCTTCTCCCCTTGTCTGTAACACACACACACACATTACAGACGCGTAAATATCCTGTTATGACAGGCCTGATCCCTTCATTACGCTGATAAATTTCCAATTCACTCATGACCTGAATCATATTTAGACATTACAGTTTTCACAATTATGCTGTGGGACCTGAGATACAGTTAAACACCAGTTAAACTCCTGGTTTCAATAGTTTGTCTGACCACTAATTTGAAGGCAAAAATCTTTATTGCCAACCTATCAGATGTGCACAGTTTACAGCTTTTTTTTCATCTAAAAAATTATGAGCAAATTTCCTGAAAATCAAAACTAACTGTTAGTATAAATATAGTCAACCAGACCGCACACTCCCTCGTGTAAGCCAAATGTAAACAATTCCTGACACGCAAAGGACGTTTAGGGTGAATTGCTTTGTCAACTCTGACATTATGTGAATGAAATAAAAAGTGAGATGACTCACATGTGACTCAATGTGAGGTTGCCCTCTGACTAACAGTAAAAATATTCCAGCCACCAATCTATACCGCAGGTCCAGCGAGACGGTATTCAAGCAGTACTCACGAGCCTACACGGGGGAGGTAAGTGAGGATTTAGTTATTTGTTTAAAAGCAGGGAAAAGGTCAATTGGAAAGAGTAAAAACGGGCGGAATGATGGGAATGTCAGTGATGTAACGTTGCTGGCGAGGCTCCTTCGTGGCAAAGGATGCAGACTTCTAAAAAAACCACAGCAACATAAAATACGTGTCAAAAACTGAATGTTATGACTTCGTTTGTTTGCTGATATTATAATTGTTTGTTTTAACGGGTGTGTAAGAGCGACTGGGTGGGTGGATCATCGGTGGCTATCAGTGAGTGTGTGAATGAGTGGTGACAAAACTAAATCCTTCCTGTGACAGGACCTGTAACTCAATAGAACCACACCCGGGACACAATGCTGCCAGCGAGACGCAGCAAGGTTTGGTTGAGACATCATTCATGCTGTCACCCAAGGTGCTGCCGCTCAAAGTGCCTGCTGACGCCAAATCACACCTCAGCGTGTAGAGCTACATGTTTGCTTAGTTTACTGATCAGTGTACCAGGCCTGCCAAATGTTTTGTGTGATGGAAACCAATTAAAGTGATAAATCTGACCGTTAACACGAAGGGGAAGTACAGGATCAAATATCTCGGACAGCTGTGGAATATGTGATCAGTTGGAGTTACAGGTTTCCTAAAGGCCTTTGTGGAGCACTCAGACATCACACCGAGGGCAGGCAGGCTGACCGTCTAAGTGGTTTCTTTGTAAAACAGCAGCAGCAGGAGCCGCACTTCATCACCATGCTCCATTTGCCACAATGACATGCATCATTTGCTCTCCCTGCAAGGCTAGACACAAAGTTCTTCCACCGTCTGGACCAAACTCAAGCCCTCGCAACCTACACCCCCTCTCCACAAATGAGTATGCACAAATACCCCAGGCCGTCTAATTCGAAAACCTCACCTAGTAAGTAAAACCCTACTCGAGGCTGCACTCTTATGTTAATCCTGATCACCGTAGCCTGAGAGCCTTCAAAATGAGCAGCACAGGAAGAATACCACAGGATATACAGCCTAAACAAACAGATGGAACCACCTCATCGAGCAAAAATCCATGAATAAACAGACTAAACTGTGAGGACACTAACGGAGAGACCTCCAAGAACTCCATTTCTTAGCACTGATTAATATAAGTCCTTGATAGCTCACATGCTGGCTTTCTTTTCTCTGCAATCACATTGGCTGTGCATTTATTTAAGCTTCAGAAAAGCAGTCAAAACAAGGCGGAAGATACAACTTGTTCCCAACCTCTGCAATACAACATTCCCAGCAGATATGAGCATACGTCAGGGAGCATTTTTACGTGACAGGTTGAAACTGTCCTATTTCACTTTGTTTTTAACCACTCTTAAAATGCAATGTTTCCCCTCGCTCTGACAGTTCAGCATTTTACTTTATATCTCTTTCTATGTATTTATTTTTTAACTCATTTTTATCAGATTAATGTGCTGCATTTTCTGGTGCTTACATTAAACAGCGCTTTTAGCTGAACACAGATTCGGTCTTTTTTATGGACACTTTTAAATACACATAATTGACATTTATTATTTTGTAAAGACATTTAAGAAGCTGATAAAGTTTTTATAATTCACTTGAAAAATTACAATACAGTAGACACTAACTTCCTGTTAATGGATGATAACTTGTCATACATTTTTCTGTATTATCAAGCCACTTTAAGTTAGCGTGAAACACATGCATCAATCCACATTCTTCACATGCCGTCACTCAAAACTCTTGCTCAACATTAACAATAGAAAAACTTTAAACACAGAATATAAACATAAGTGTTTTTCTGAGTAGATCTGACACCTGGAAAATTGTTCAGACTCCTGCCAGTGTTAAAGGGAAGAAGGAATCAGGGGGAATTATGGTACAGTGTGCCTCTGGCTCTCTCTTGAGACCCACCCCAGGAAACACATGCCATAAAGCAGATCCACACCTGGCAATGGCTACTGTGCTATTTAGTCTGTTTACAAGTTCCACATGTGTGGCTAATGTCAGGCACATCCATCTGACAGCGGGAAAATGCATTCAGTGTTAGGACTGCATTCTCTCCTAAACTAATCCTGCCTCTTTGAAGTTCTGTAACTCCCCCTCGATGGGGGTGGAAGATCTCGGAGGGAAGCTTCCCCCTGAAAACAGTTTACACGTCAGATTGCATCTTTCACCACATTTTAATCACAGGTTGGGTCTGACTAAACGGTCTCAAAAGCATCTATTAGAAACACCGACAGCAGGAGTGGCTGTGACACTATGTGAGATGGAAAAAACATGCAGGTAAATGTTTGTCCTCCCTCTGCTTCGTCCCCTCTTTCGAGGTTAAAAATAAAAGCCTTTACATCCATTTACAGTGCCTTGCGGTCCCGCTGTGCAAACAGCCCATTAATTCCAGCTCTGTGATTGTTTCGTACCATGCTCACCCTGCAGGATTGAGCCCCCTCCTCTCTAACCTTGGCTCTGTCAGTGACACCTCTCTCAAATGACTTGTAGATCTCTCTGGTTCACACTGGGAAACACTTTTAATGAGGTGCAAGCAAGCCATGCGTCTTCTTCTGTTTAAAAGCGTAAAAAAAACCTTAAAAACTGTAATGAAATAATTTATATTACACTCAAACTTGCACTTTCACCTGCAAAAACCACCCACGAAGCCTATTCAGCCCCTTATCTGTTGACAGCGCGGAGTTAAGAGATCAGCTGCAGGTATGTTAAAATGGCAACTTGTGTGATCTACCAGCAGGTTTGTGTTGTGACTCGGTAGCATTCACCTCACCTGAGTGACTGCCAAGGAAAACAACATGTGAAAAACCCTACAAGTGTCAGGCTGCCAAGGAAAACACGTAGCGTCTTGATCTTCTCAATCAAGTGAGAAATGCGGAGCTTTAAAAAAGAAAGTATGAATCAAATAAAAAATAAATTATAATGATCAATTCGTGCCTGTTTATACATGAATGTAATTAAAAAGAGAGCTCGGGAAAATAAATAAATATAAAATTATTAAACTTATAGTAGCCTGACTTAAATAACTTTCTGGTTGTTATCCTCAAAGTGATAGGACCTCACCAGTGCCTTTGAACCAGGGCACTGATAAGCTTCCATCTTCCAATCTAACTTAGCACGTCTACTTACTCAAGTACGTTACTAAATAAGTATTAATAGAAACTTTCTGATTCTACTCCACTATAATTTGTATGCAAAATAATGTGCTTTATACTCCATAACAATAATTTTAAAGCTTACATTTTTTTGTTATATATTGCAAAATATATATTTATGTTATATATTATATAATATAATCATAATAAATATTAACTATTATAGCTATATAGATTCAGTTATGATGCATGATCTAGTATAATGTATTGTATAATGCACATATTTTGATTCTGCATAATTCTGCACGTTCTTTTACTGTAAGTACTTTCAGCATATGTTGAACCTACAAGTTTTTTTTACTAATATTTAAGCAGGGTTATGACTTTTTAACTTGTTTCTTCAATTTGCAAAAATGTTATTCACATTCACACTTGTCTACTACATCTGTATGAGGGCACTTGAGCTTGGAAATCCGTGTTTTCTGCACCAGTTTTCTACTTTGTATTTATTTCTCATTAAACATTATAATATAATATGTTTTCCAGCGGGGCCCCACTGCCTTGGTCCCCACTATGCCACTCAATTTACAAAATCATGGAACCGCCCCTGTATCTGTAACTGACTGATTGCATAAATAAATGAAGAAACGTGTCTGTATTTCGATTGAGCTGCGCTGCAGAATATTTAAACATTATTTTGAGTGTACGTGTGTGGCATACCGTTTAGGTGAGATCCGGACCCCGCGTCCTTCCAGCTGACACCACATTGATTATAGTCCTGTCGCTGTTGCTCAACTGGTTTAAAAAATAAACCCCAAATCACTTTTACACGTTAACCACAAACGCTATTCACAAACATGTCTTTCTCCTTTTTTAATAGTCCGTGACATCGCACGAGTGCACCAAAAATCCAATGAGGGGAGAGAGAAAAAAGGAAAGGAAAGTAGTTACACACCAGAAAACTCTCCTGTCCCGGGAGCGCTTCCACTCAAGAGAAATACTGTATGCAATAAACCCACAAAACTATTACAAATGTTGACCCGCCTGAAAATGTGGATATTCCATAACTTGTTACTGCTCCAAGGAGCCCCAGAGAAAAATTATGTCAGTTCAAATAAGTGAGCGACGAAGTGGAGCGCTGAAGAAGCTACCCAAACGTTTTAAGAACTCCGAACTCCGCCTGAAACGCGTTCAACAAAGCTAGCATTAACTACAATCAAAACTTCCGGTTAACATTTTCAAAATAAAACATGAATTGAGGAATTTGAATTTCCATCGAACGTGACGGAAAGGCAGGGCTTTTATTTTAAAGAAGCACGCAGTCTCTTCAGAATGGCCCTGTTATTGGCTTACTGCTAGCTCGACTCAGTTGAGATTAGTTTCTTGGTGGAAGCGCAAAGACTGGGCGAACTCCCCCCCCCCTCAGGATCCTTTAGTAGAATATGGATAAGAGTTCTGGGGCATTCAGCGACTAACATCTGGCAAAGCAGATGTATGAAACAACCGCTCCTAAACAGACACCTAAAAGAGAAAACAATAATTAGCCCAAAAACAAAGTCACATATCTTTGCTAGCTTAGAATTAACATGGCCATGAGATGATCTTAACCGTCACCCCTCCTGTTTTTGATCCCCGCCTCACACTTCACAGGAAAACAGCCAGTAATGCCAGTAATACGGGCACAGATCCAAGTTCGGTGAGTTCATTATGGGGCATCAACTGTAAATTATTACAAACCAGCCGTAGCTGCACGGTTGTCGTTTGCAAGTGTGTGAGGCTGCAACATAACCCCGTTTGGCACAATCAAACCTGAAGATGTAACTCTGTGTTTTAATGCCAAATCCAAGTCTGCTCTCAGATTGCTTCCTCTATGCTTGTGCCAGATTTTTAGGCATGTTTGCAAGACACGTAGAGATGTGAGTGCTTACAGGTTAATTTCGATGTTGGCATGCACATCAAATCCAAACAGTAAATAGGCCTAAATTACAACAGGAAGATACTGTACACTCTGACAAGATGATTAAGAAAATACTGTGCACTGAGGCTATAATTCATCATGTTCGTGTTTAGATTGTTGGGCCTCCTTATCTGAGGACTTTAGGTGGTGATTAGTATGGGGACCCTTGAATTACTCTGGCAAACTAGCCTTGTGTCTAGGAAGGCCATGGCTTCTGTCTGAAAGGTTTAAGGCACCGAAGTGACTTAAACTTGGCTTCAATTTTTCATGGGAAACTTATGAGGTGCAAAAAGGTTATCTATTTTTTTTGCAGTCACGTGACCTCTAACCAGATTTTGGAGGTGTGACATTGTATGGGGAAGGTCTCCGTGGACGTGGAACCCACTAGGCAAAAATGTGTACTCCCCAACCAGTTTGCGCAGTTGCATTTGCAATAAGGTTTTCACCGACTGAGGGTTGCAGGGTGCTGCACCGAAAACCTCCTTGTTGTTGCTAGCAAATTGATGCAGCTTTGAAGCAGTACATCATCCATTTCCATTTTTTTTTTCAAGTTTTACTGCCATTCAGCTAATAGTTAGAGAGTGTTTGCAGAGAAGATGGTGCGTTCCATGCAAACTTCCTCCCTTCAGAGGAGCAATTGAATTTGACTCCACACGTGATCCACCTTTTGGATCCCAACATCTTCAACTGGTTCTCATTTTGAAGTGCAAACTTCGGGCGATTGAGACAATCTGCTAGTGACCAAAGCAGTTACAATGAGGTTTCTGGTGTAATCCACTTCACCTAGTGATGTTCAGAAGCCCTATATATTTTTCGCTCACCAATAGTGGTTGTATCACATCCAAGCAATGTGTGCATGATGTCATATGTTCCAAATTCCTGATAGTCTTAAGGGCTCCATCATTAGTTCCAGGTAATACTAAAGCTGTTTTTGTGAATTATAGTCATTATTAGAAGGGGTGATAATCCATCATATTTTCATTAGCTAATGACCTGTCAATCACAAATGATCAGCCAATGAGCATGCAGTGTACTACTACTACTTTTACAGTCAGTCCATCACTTGCTTTTCAAGTCTTGTTTCAAAACACCAGCATGGGGACTGCTAAATCACTCAGCTTGAGCCTTCATAACAAGAATTCAGTGACGATTGCATGACATCACAATCAAGGCATCACACTTTTTTACACTTTTTTTCTTAGGTTGAAGTGATTTATGGAGCTGCCTTCCAGCTGCACAACATAGAGACTAAAACCATTAATGCACACATAGTGGACAAGTCCATGTGCCACAACCCATTAAAAACATTGCTGCATTTCCTGCATGTGCTTCACTTCTTCAGGACATCAAATAAATTGATCAGTTGTGTGTAACTGCTTGCACCTTGTCTATATTTCTTGTTTGTTTTCCCTCTTATTACCATGCACGAAAGGAGAAATAATTCTCATTTAAATTTCATCAGCTTATCTTCACCGGCCTTATCTTTGTGAAGGTTGCATCAAAACCCCCCAAAATCTTTCAAATTCTTTTCCCTCAATTTATCCCCACTTGTTTGCACAAATGAAAAAGAACATGCAGCTAATCTCCATTTATTTGATAAGAAATGTTACACTGGCTGAAAACAAGTTTTTTGCAGGATGTTCTTCTGTATGGTTGCAGGTTTTCAACAGTGATACCTTTATTACTAACCGTAAAGTGCATTTGAAAGATACTTGCTTAGAAATAGTGAAAATATTTATTGACGGTACAGGCAAAGTAGCAGGTGTCTGTTTTTTGGAGCGCATCCAAAGGATGTAATTTATATTTCAATGTGACGTAGTTTTGGCATACTCTGTATTAATTTGCATATTTCTCATTAAGTGTGTTATTATGTGTTATTTGATCCAGATCTAGTTCATGTTTTCACATGGTTTTGACTTCCATTCAGTCGTGCAGATATTTGCTGCTTTGATCTTCGCTAATGCTGCAATGCAGGTAGTTTGGATGTACTGTTAAAGCTGGAAAGATGAAAATAAGAGTTGTTGACTGGCCACTCTGTCCGCTCACAGGTCTTCAGGGGGAAAGTCAGCCAAGGCCTGTAGGAGTCACAATGGAGGTCTATAGAGGACGCACAGGCTGACAGACAGTTCAGCGGGTCCTCGGCGCAGATAAGTCACCCCTATACAGACCAGACGAGGGTTCATTGCTATTGACCTGCGAGAACAGCGCGTCCACTGAGCCTCCCCACCTTGAATGGCCTTGTTGAAAAGGAGAGCCATAAATTGGCGGATGAGCAGTGAGAGGAATGGGGGGGGGGGTCTACTCTGCCTCCCCTCTTCATCCCACCTCCCACTCTCTCTCGCTCTCTCACATGCTATCTCTTTCTTTCCTTTACCAAGTAGTGGTTTCCATCTCACCAAACCCCTTTTCCCCTGAATGTTTAAAAAGATGAAAGGATAAGGAAAAGAATGGAGACAAAAGAGCGCAGGCTTGTGTTACAACCCTGCCCCTGAGAGACTGCTCATGAAAGAGTTCGGGGATGGGAGAGATAGGGACCTGGAGAGGAGACACAGAAAGAGAAGGGGGGATCGTGAAAAGAGGGTTTTCAGGCCGCTAAAACGGGTCACTCTTTATAGAGAGGCAGACTAAAGTGCAGTCTTCACTCTGAGTCGGAGACATTTAACACAGGACCATCAGATGGAAGGCGGCGTTGATATACTTGTACTCACTGAGTGATTGCACAAGCGCACATGACTTCACGCGCACACGCTTTGTTTGTCTTATCCACATCCAGCGTACAGTAGAAGCAGAGAACCTTCTGAGAATTTTCGGGATCGTCTTTGCCAATCAAACACAAACACTTGCGCGCACATACATACACACTCCCTAATGTCTCCTTTGCGGCATTCCTACCCCTTGGCATTTACTGTCAGTCGCTCGAAATCCGTTCAACCCTCCCACCATTCTCTCTATCTCCTTCCCTGTCTGAACTTGCCCTGCGTGCACTTAGATATTTCCACCTCGGGGTGCATCAATGAGAGTTTGAGTGGTTGAGAGAAACAGAGCAAGAGAAAGTTGTTAGCTCGGTGTGGATGGGAATCACCTTCAGACAAAGGCGATGACTGAAAAGGCAGGGATGCGTTTTTCTCGGGCTTTCGCGTGCATATGTAACTGTGACCGTTTCACAGCCGAGGAGACCCAGAGGTTTATCTCAGGCATTCATTCACAGAACAAGTTTTGCTTCATACTACCGCTCTAACACGTCACATTAAAAGCTTTCCTTAATCCTTAAGTCATCAAAACTCTTTAAAGTTAAGCTGCACTATTTAGCAGGCAAATTCAATGCTGTACAGTGGTTTTCTATTTTCAGCAAACAACATTATCATGACTGAAACAGGTTTCCGGTCTTTTATTAAAGCCCTGTAAAAAACAAAAAACAAACAGATTTCTTTTATAGCACAGCGCTGCCTTGTACAGAGTCTCTCCCTTCAGAGGAGCGATTGAATTCGACTCCACACGTGATCCACCTTTTGGATCCCAACATCTTCAACTGGTTCTAATTTTGAAGTTTCCAGATGTCGCTCTTACTCCCATCGGCCCCTGTGATGAATCTTTCCCACAGGCAGCGCCATCAGGCATCAGCTTGTTGCCTCTGCACTGGACATCCTCCTGCATTTGAAACTCGGATCCGAACGAAATTGGAAGGTAGCTATTATAGCAATTATTGCAAATAGCTGAGCCGAGCTGTCAGGGCGAGGCTCTCAGTCTGTCTGTCCATAACAGAGCCACCAAGTCAGGCCTCAATTACACATCCTCAGCCTCCCCAAGGTACCTGGTGTCAGTCCTCCATCATCTCCTCTTCCATCTTCACTCACTTTGAACATTATTTTAGTGTCTTCACCTGATTTCCTGACATTTTCAATCCTTTTCCGTGTTTCTTCCATCACTCGCCTCACACCCGCCGCATTCCACCTCCTGCTCACCCCTAAAAAAACCTTCTCTAATGAAAACTGCACTGCCATTGCTACCACACACGTACACACTGAGGTATAGCTGCATGTGTTTCTAATTTCAGGCGTAATGCTCCGTTCTCCGCAATCTGACCCAATTAGCCAGAGCCTGCTGGAAATGCCCCAGTCGCCAGACACGGTGGCAAAGAGGTAAAGGTCAAAGGTGAGGTCATTCACGGGGGAGTTCGAATTGATGAATGCATCACTCCTGCCTGCCTGTCTGTCTTTGACATCCCTGTGTGCGCCACTTCAGCTGCTGTCCAGTTTCCCCATGAACATATTTAGCACAGGTGGAGGTTTGAGCGCAAAAAGCAAGCCAAGCCTGAAATTGAATTTCACAGCTTACTAAAGGTCAAAGAGGATGAGTGACAGGGTCTGGAGCCAGACCACACATAAACATGCAAACAGCGCACATGTACACCGAAGCAAAGAATGCACGCACACACACGCACACACGCCCATACCGATACACTGCCGCTCTGACAAACAAACAGCACATGCGGCTACAAGTCTTTCCTGCATGAAACTGAAATTAGCGTATGGAATGTTCACCTTCGGGAAAACAGTTTGGGAGGGAGAGGGAATATGAGCATCAAAGCTCCAAAGCCCTCATTAGGAGAACGGGGTTTGGTAATTCAGTTTAATGCCTAATTAGAAACAGGTTCAAATGGGTGCAAAATGCAGACTGGCGCTGTGTTGCATTGCCTAGCAGTCTGCCTCGTTCCACGTCTCTCTCAGTTTGGATTTTGTGTGATGTGCGATGTAGCTGGGTCGTTGTCAGTTTACGAAACGGCTTCACGCAACGCATGCACACACTCTGCACGTCTTGTTTACATCATCTGCATCGCTGTCACCTCTCCCCTTACAGCACCCCTCTCTCTCCCGCGGATCACCTCTCAGTCACTCCTCCTCGTCTCCTTATCGGTGCCTCCTCAGTGTCCCGTTACAGGACCCAGTCCACCTACAGCGGCTACACTTTCATTCAGTCTGGATCCCCTAGATTAGACATGCAGCCTAAATAGTGAGTGATCTATTTACAGTTACATCCTCCGTGTCGCCGACGCCGGCACAGTCCACATCTTCCTTGGTTCCCCCCTTCTTTGCCCTCGCCGTTCCTCTCCATCCCCTCACCTCCTCTTCCATGTGCCCTATTTTTTGCCAACGGGGGAAAAATGTTACACATTGTAAACTTTACTCACTGTACAACACCCGTAGGATTGGATTTCAGTGGCAGACTTTGTGTTTGAACTGGTCTGGCAATTAGTAGAGGATAGACTTACGGCTCACCTACTGCACAATGGAAACACCGGCCCAGTTGTACAAGCCCCTGTTCCCATTCTGCCCCTCTCCATCTGTCCTCCTGTGGGACTGTGTGTGAGTGGTGGGTGTGCATGGAAGGGTATGTTTGAAATTCTTGTCGGTTGCACAGTTTCATGTGTGGGAGTGTAAATTTGTTGTTGCTGGCACCGGATAAAAAAAATCAAACTCAGTAGATGCCAAGACTTTAAGAATACAGTATACAATGCACTAAGATCTGACTTATAACTGTGGTGTTGTTATGAGTAGAAACTAGTGTTTGTTAATGTATAATTTGTGTAATAATCAAAGATATGCCCTTATAAAGGAAAGATAACAAATACTCTACATGAAAAGTGGAAACCTGTGAGGCAGAAAAATGAAGCCAATGCAATTTGTCTAAAAAGCAATTGAGGTTGACTCCATTAGCGAGCCAGTTCTCACAGGCGTCCACATTAAGATGTTCAGCTTTGAAGCATTAAAACTGTTTGCAACAGTGTGTTGCAAACACTGTTTGATCTCTGGTTATAGTTTCTCTCGTAAGGTGTAGATTTATGGATGTGGCTGCTTTGATTAACATTGATTAACCTTACCTGCACTAATTCAGTTCCCTAAATCCAACCAGTCAAATGTCTCTCTTTGGCTTTTAGACATTTGTTAACAGAATTATACTACAAATGCTGTGCAGTGTAGCCTGTCTGAGAATCTTGTGCTCCAATTGTGGTGAGTGAAATTCTAATATGTTATTAGTCTGTCACTAATTAGCAGACTGCACCTGTGCAGCTCATGCATGCTGCTTGCTAGCCAAAGCTTTTTAGTGTTAACTGATAACTTTGCACTCCACCCTCTGTTCTGCTCTCTGGGTTGCTTCTCACTAAAACGCTAATGCTGAGGTTTCAAATACATAGTCGGGAAACCATGACGTCACGGTGGTTGCATCCATCGTTTTCGTGCAATTTGTGGAATAAAAACAAATGTTATGTTTGTTTAGCTTTTGGATAAAGTGACATTGTAATATAAAGCATCTGTACAGTCTTGTTATTATATTAATATTCTTCTCGTATTTGCTTAAATTGACACTCAAAGTTCAACTCTAAAGAATATCTTACTGACCTAAATATTTGCTGAATGTGTTTTTGTGTATCCTTAAGCTAAAATTAGAATGGACTCAGCAACAAGTGACGTCTGCTCGACAGTCCAGATTCCAGATCAGAATTTCTGTTTTTTTTTTTTTTTTTGGTAGTTTTTTGTTTGTTTGTTTGTTTGTTTGTAATGAGCGATCCTTTTAGAGATACCACAGAAGGTAACTGAATGTGCATCAATTTATAAAATCACCTTTATATTAGTGCTATAGTTTTGAGGTAATTTTATTTTACTCTAGTTTTCGTCTGTCTGCCAAGCCAGCAAGGAAACGGCTGTGCGGGTTTCGTACTATACCGAAGAATGCTTCCTTATTAAAGTCTGCAAAGTCACGTCGTTATACAACATCATGTATGACAGTTGAGATGCTACACTCATAAATCCCCCCCCCCACCCCCAAGGGGAAAAAAAATCCCACATGCATACTACCCTTTTGGGCTAAGCCCCGGGTGTTTCAAATGTCTGGCTCCGCCTCTGCTTTAGACCCGGAAGTAGGATTCGTCGCGTCATCACTGAACAACCGGATAAGCAAATAAAGAGACAGAAAATGATGCGAACTAACACTATATTAGCAAAAAAGATCAAAAGAACCACAAAGTGTGGTAGTCTTCCATTAGTGATGTAAAATGGTGCAAAAATGGAAAAAGATTTTTAAAAGAT